ACTAAAACAATCCCAGTTAGCACCTTATACATGTATCAAGGAGGAAAAAATCTTGAAACAATATTTCGTTGTTTGCATTGTATAGCCAATAACTCCACTTTGCGGCACTGTTGTATATAATTATTTATAAGAAATTCTTACAGTATGTACTTCAATATTCAGAAAAAAATTAACAATTATTGCGTAGGGATTTCAATGTCAGAATATGTTCTTTGAATGAATTCAAAATGATGATTTCCTTCTGTTTATACTTATCCAGACAAAAACATTATCAAAACAGTCAAAACAAGTAAGTTGATCAGAACGAGCACTTATCTTCAGATTTTGCATAAATGATCTGATACGCGTTTTCACTGCAGCACAGTCCTTGATAGCAAGATTGGTAATTATAAAACATGTAATAATACATGTCTTACCTCGTACATGTAAGTGCATTTTATTATTTTGCCATGTTGGCGAGTATCATCGAAATTATGATAAGCATTTATTGCTAGTTTGCTAGTTTTATCATTAATAATCTAAATTTATTAAAGTTTACCTGATTCTCATTTAAAGCTATAGAATACGTAATTAAACATTGTCTCTCCGGAGATATTGAGAAATTGTGACTGATACCTTTTTGTCTCTCTGGTGACCAATGAGAAATTCAGTCTGGTACCTTTTTGTCTTTCTGGAGAAAATGACAAATTCAGTCTGATACCTTTTTGTCGTTCTGGAGAAAATGACAAATTCAGTCTGATACCTTTTAACATGTTTTGTTTTGTGTCTGACAGCTAACCACTACAACTTAAAACATGAATTGTCATCAGACATCGAACAAACTAAAATATCACGTTATAAACAAGTTGTTGTGTATTCCTGCACTGTTCATAAATAAAGTAACTGTATAAAATCTACTCAGAAGTACAGACGTTGATATTTGAATGTAGGCAAATATGATCTATATATTAGTAAGTTATCCCTTACGTCAATTGGGCTTACTTTCAGTAATTGCAAGCATTCTTACGAATTGTATTGTTTAGTAGTGCTTTGCTGATTGGCTCGGGGTCAGAATAATATGTATTCATGTGGGCTGTCACAAGTGTAGCTAGCACATTATATTATAATCCCAACTGAGTCTGAATAATATGTCTTCATGTGGGCTGTCACTAGCTAGCACATTATATATATATATATAATCCCGAATCAGCTATGTTTCTAGTTTAAAGCAGGGCATATTCATATTTCATTAATATGCTATCGACCTGAATATGTATGTACTACTTGCTGCTGGACGTTAAACAGACATAACCAATCAATCAAAACCTGAGGATCTGTGATCTATAGGTCGGAAATACAACTTTGTCTAATATTCTTTTCTTCTCTAACAATCTTAAAATATACTTCTTCTAACAGATTTCTCTTTGCTATGCTTGTATTCTTGAAATAATTGGGTATCTGCTAGAATAAGTATTAAGTAGTATACAGCAGTTTGTCAGAAAGTTCGCGATAAGTCATGAAGGTCAAGTTGGTTGTCAATGTTGGGGGTATATACATTTTTACCGTTTAAATCCCTATATGATCAAATTTAGTACTTACATAAAGAACTTTATCGAAAGGGCGAAACTGTAATTTGACTGTTAATTATTATATACAGTTCTATGTATATCAAATTTAACGTGTCATAGTCATATTTCATATCTATTAAATAATATAATACTTTATAAATTAAATTATTTTACAGAAGATCGTACCAAATATTTGTTATATTTTTTTTTCATAGTCAACTGGTCATTTAGCTTGAAGACACAAGAAATGAGGCACCATTTACCAACTGATTAGAAGAAATGTTCGTCCATTATGTGATTATTATACACGAATAAATTAAAATCACAAACATTAAATACCAATTTTTGCATAATATACAAATAAAATAGCTATTAAATCATACATCTGGTGTTGATTTTGTAAATTGCCATTAGCAAATTGATTGAAGAAAGTCTTAAATGGCCAAACGTTTGCTTCTTTGAGGATAAGTCTTTCCCGGCCTGAAATATTCTGAACGACAATCTGTTTGCTATATACTATTATTAGTTTTCAACAGCATAAAAAATGAATTTATATTAAAAAAAAGTATAACTGAATTTTCCTGACAGTAAATTTCTGTCTCATTGGCGTATACCCACGTCTTCTTTTATTTACATTCTATAGTCAATAAAACAGATCTCACAAAGGTGAAAAAAATTATCAATCACAGAAATTGGAGAACGACAGTGTCTATCAAAAACACTGTATACAGGGTTCGCAAATTTAAAACGTATAAGTCAAGCTTGGTAAATAGTTTGGTATCTCGAATTATATCCGATAAAGTCAAAATATTAAATGGCACATTAAATTAATAATAAAAAGAAATAAAATATTGAATAACAATGTCTATTGTATAAACATGCTTCTGCAGGCAGCCTTTCGTCGTTTATATAAAAAAAAAGACTTGCAAAATAAATTATCACTAAGAGATGTAGTTAAAAGGACTTCGTTTATTCTGTGATGCATGTAACAAATATATTAGACAAAGTAAACGATCCAACAGCATTTCAGCTATCCAAGCAAATAGTCACATGGTCAACAAAGAAGATTTAGTTATATTCCTTGGACGACAATTTCCTTATTTACAACACCCAAGTATCTGATTACTATATCTATAATTGAGAAGCTATATTTCAGTCGTCCATTGTACCTGTATACGACTTGCATTTAATCTTAAATAGTCGTAATGTTATTAAAATTTATGATAGATGGGTGTTTGTTTTATACATAGATCATTTACTTCTTCTATTGCACAGTATTTGCACAACATGGTGCAGGTTAAGTGCACGTAAATGTAACGGGGCTATACTAAATTTTAAAAAGATAAATATAGGATAGACGACATCGCCATTTGTTACACACGAATATTGAAATGTTTGGAACAAATACATGTAGTATACATAAACTTATTTTCATCACTATAATGTTTAAATCATTAAAATGACACGATGCACAACAATATAAACATATACATGTACACGAAGTACTCTCAATTATACTACTTTAGTTAAATGCATTCTTTAATAAGCCGAGAGCCTGGCGCCAAACTCATTTTAAAATGTGATGTCGTAAACTTGACTACACATTTGCTTCCTTTCATATACAGTCAATATAATGACTAACCTCTACTTACAACGAAAGGAAACAATATTTCGGAAGAAGGGAAAGAAAACCCAAAGTATGTCCAAGAAGGCATTCCGAGTTTTCTGCAATCTGTAATTAACAAGTTTCACTTTGATTAAAACAGATCTATGTCATAAGACGCACTGGATGTTGTATTCTAATAGGAATGGAGGACCCCCCCCCCCCCCCCCCCCCCTTTCCCCCGCGAAATTGGCACTTCGGCAATGGAACATACCCAGTCACTGACATAATTGTTCTTTGCTATGAGCAACACAACGGATGCGATTAGTGGAGAAGGAAACTCTTATATACAAATTACCATTCCGGAGCACGTGAATGTATAGGTATAAGAAGATGTGGTATGAGTGCCAATGAGACAACTCTCCATATATCCAAGTCACAATTTGGTAAGGTTCGTAATGTATAATTTTTATAATACAGATTTTGTTCAAGTTAACTAATATGGGTGTTATAGTGTAATAACTAACTCTGAATTACCAAGTTACAATGTAACAATGCACGTATATGTCAAAAGCCATACACCAGGGAAGTGAACAAATGAAAATCTCGATTTAATGACCGAATGAAATGGCAATAAGACAAATTGCTTGATTGACATAAAAATATACGTTACAGACTATCAAACGTTCTAACTTCTATACAGATAAACTAAATATCATCAAATTAGTATCAACGTTGTGTCTATGTTAAAGATTTAGATTAAAGGAACTTAAGGCGTCGTAATGGGGATGAGGTAGAGGGTGCAGTAGCCTCTAATTATTTTTTTTCCAAAATTTGTTGAAAGACAATATCGAATCTCAATAAACTGTAGTCTAACCTATGTTTTTCCAATTTTCCTACCTTACACTGATGTAAGTACTAGCAAGTTATCGCTTAAAACATGAACAGAGCCAAACTAAAACACAAAAATATCATTTAAAACAAATCGACTAAACACGTATAACTATTACAAAAATGACAATACAAGATACAATAGTGTATTCTTTACCAAGCTTACAACGATACATTCTAGTCTTAATTCTTTGAAGAAACACGACTGTTGTAATAAATTTTATGTTGTTAACAAGCTGTACATGTCAATGGTTACAACAAAACGTCTATCTAAGATTGGAGTTAAATTGTATATATAAAATAATGAGATGTGGTATGATTATCAATGAGACAACTATTCACGGAGATTTTAAGCAACTACAGGTCGCCGTATAGCCTTCGAATTGAGCTAAGCCAAAACCACATAGTAAGCTATAAAAACAATATAAATTTATGTGGAATATAATGACAGTTTTATTTAAAATCTTTCACTCTAAAGTAACCTCCTGATCAATCAATCAGTCCAGGTACCTACAGCTTCATCTAATTTTATATGCTGCGATGTGATTGAAGGAGAAGAAAAATCTGGTTAAGTGTTGAATTTGATTATTAACTAATTTTTTAGGGATGTTTAAACTGTAAAAGGACACCAAAGAATTTCTGTTTGTCTTTAAGAATAAGTCCAACTTTATTTGGTAATCTCTGTTTCCTTAGTCTTAAAGATAGGCGGAAGGTTCCAGGAGATATCAAACACAAGTTGAAGACAAACAGGCTACACCATGGCAATAAAACAAAAACACGAACGACATAAAGACAGACAGCAGTCTACAAAACATGACATAGAAAACTAACGACTGGGCAACACGTACTCCACCAAAAAATACCGGGATTATCTCAGATACTCCGGAAGGGTAAGCAGGTCCAAAGATATGATAATTTGAAGTGAATGAGCAAAAGTAAAAATTGAAAATAAAACTTACCAAAGCTTGCATATTGGAAGCATATATAAGTCGTCTAATATCATTATGGTAGTTAACAATCATTAATTTATCCCTATGTGTCAATTTTACACTCCTTCCTATTTTTCTTGAAAATGTACACACATAAAACAATATTAATTGTACAAAAAACACTTTCAGTAGCTTCTGCATAATTCTTGTTATCCGCTGATTAAATCCTTGAAATTAAAATCTATCGTTTGTCATTTAGAAAAATAAAACTTTTAAATCATCCTTTTAAACATGTTTTAAACAGTAAGTGTTGACACTGAAACACAGTACATATGCCATCGAACGAAAACATAAATTTCAAAGCGGACTTTAAACTGAAATTAAGTAACACCGAAAACAGTAGTTGTTGGAAATGCGACACTATGCACGTTGTATATATCAACCCTTTGATGGACAGATTTACCAACGATTTAATCTGAACTTTGATAAAACAAGCGGTGTCATAGTGTATTTAAACTACCTAAACGATAGAGAGGCGTACACTATATATATATTTTACAAACAAGGGATGATAAAATTAACTTGTCGTTTAGTTTTACCTTGAAGTGCATATATATTTTATAAAGTTAATGCAATCGCCAAAAACTTACTCGGGCGTGGAATTATTTATTACGATAAATATCATTAATACGATTATTCGCATCAATGTCAAAAGGAAATTTTGTGCTGTATTTAAAATATTTAAGATGAAATTGTTGATATTCTCAAGACTATTAAACGGTTTGATAACGATTATATATTAATACTCTGAAATAGATAATTTAATAGACCAAAATACTTATCGAGGTGTGATTAATTTTAATTAAATGCACGATCATGACTTGTTAATTAAAATGATTTAAAGTGGAATGGTCAATACAATGTAATTACTAGGTACCACTTTAAAATGTTATATATACGATCTATATAGATCTGCTATTTTTAAGCATTTTAATCTCATATGGTATGGTGTATCAATTGTTGGCTGCTTTTTCTTTCATCTTTTTATCATATAGATAAAATATACAATTTCCAATGCAAACGAACTACTTGTCTATAAGGTTCATGACCTTTTCATCAGATTATAACAATATTAAAGACGCTAAAGTACAAATGCATAAACAGACTGAAATGAATAAATTGAATGTTATAAGAAGAAGGGGATGCGGTATGGTTGCCAATGGGCATCTTATCCACAAAAGTTTATCAAAAGACATGGATCTAAGCAGATATAGATCATCATACGGCCTTCAAACATAAGCAAAACCCATACTTACTGCCAACCTATAAGAGGGCCCGACATGACAAAATGTGAAACAATTCAAACGAGAAAACCAATTGCCTCGTTTATGCTTTATCAATAAATGAAAAAAATAATAAGACAGCAACCGACGAAAGACTGCCATTTTTATACACTAAAACAATCATACGGGAGCGTTGTGTACGTTTTAACGACCGTTCAAAGTTGAACAGAATTTTGTCAAGCATGTTCTCATATATGTTTCGAAATTAGCTTTTCATTCGGAATTGTGGTTATTAAGCTTTGTAAAGTATTTGTTTGCTGTTAAAATTCTCCAAGTCTGTAAAACGCAACCTTCTCTAAATGTATGCTAATATATTTAAGTTCCATTGACATTATTTATCTTTGTAAAATTGTTTGAAGTATAGCAGTGCAATGCTTATAAGAAAAACTGGTAAAGTTGGCTTGTTTTCACTCTTGGAATCTCTGGCACGTGGTTTTGAATGTTTTTTCTTTAGTATAATCTTTCTGTATCAACTACGTGCTGTAAAAATGGCAACAACCAAAAAACAACTGTAAGACTTTTAAAGATCGCAAAAAAAGAAAGTTTTAACTTAACATAGATCGAATGTATGCAATACAAGAGTAAAGGCAGAAAACTGAAAGTGAAGACACCAGCATATATTAACACTGTATATACAACTTAATTCTCTTATTTATCTGTACAGAACATCAAATACATGTCAATGAAACTGCTTACACATACCCCATCTGGTTAACATTAAGTGAGATGGATGTAGTTATAGCAGCATCCGTTGTTTGTCTACCTGCAGTATAAAAAAGTATAAAGACTGGTGTCGACATTTCACCTATTTCATATGTGATATTTGATCATGATGTGTGTTTGAAAATACATAACCTGTATACAGGATTTATGGTGTTGCAATACTTTGAATTCAAAAAGTATACACGCGAAATATGATGTAAAGAACACTAAGAGTCGTTTACCGACGGCTTCATATTTGGTGGCTGATGTTTTACGAAATACTGGATCATATTACTGGGTCACAAAAAGTAAATAATACATTTTAGATTTTACCACTGCATCAAGTGTGATACGATATTTCTCCTCATTAGATATTGAATGTTTAAAATTTAACTGCCGAGAGAGAATAAATATCGTATCGTACGAGATACAGAGATAGAATCTGTTACTCTATTGAATGAATTTTTAAGATGGTATGTAGGCCAACTGTACTGTATACCTTCTTCTTTGATTATCTGCAAAAAATCGTGATCTTACTATGTTGCATCATCAGACATGGTGGTCTTTTTTTCATAACATCACAATCGCGAGAAAAGAAAGGAAAGTCGACGTCATAATTGAGTTTTGACCAACGAAGAACTGAGATTATTTGAGTAAACCGCTCGTTCAATAAAAAAAATAATGAGGCTGATAACGGCAAGGTCATAAGATCACTATCCCTAATGATATTGAAAAGATAGCTTAGCCTATAATTGACGTAATTGTCAAATCATAACATTAAAAATCGACATTTTAAAACATTTCAATTTATAAATCTGTTTGCAGGATAAGGCTAGACAATACAAAAACATACTGAATTCAAAGAAAGAATATGTACCAAAAAGTTAAAATCGTTTTAAAAAAGTATTGTAACAAAAATACCGAGTTCCACTGGTAAACTTAAAAAGGGGGGAGTCCATAAAAACTGACAAAATCGAACGTTGGACTTTATCGACCAACGGAACAAATGGAAAAAAGCCGTCAATTTCCTGACTTGGTACAGGCATTTTCTGCAGAATACGGTGAAATAAACCCGTTTTTTTTTTAACTAGCTAAACCTCTCACTTGTATGACAGTTGTTTATAGTTCTGTTATATTGATAAAAATTGAAAGAGCAACCCAAACAGACATAGTATGTAAATGTGACAATAATTGGGTCCAGCAGCCAAAACTGTGTAAACATACATTACAGACATACAACACAAACCGACTAAAAAAATTCAGCATACATACAACTAAATCTGACAAAGACATCAAACAAGTTTTCGTAGGTGACATACAGTATAAAGTATACACTTTGTCAATCAAGCACAAATTAAGTAAAATATAAAGACAAAGATCAACAAAATGAAAACAACACTGTAAAAACATCTTGCTTCCGAATTGCACATTTGGACCCACCTGCAACAGGAACACCCAAACCAAAAAAAGCCGATAGCTGGATGAATAAATACCGAGTCACATCAAGCGTCATACAAAAAGGAACCCAGTAATAGCACAAATAAAGGGAAAACTGTTAAGTAAATAAAAAGATACACAACTTTAGCACCTATAATCTATAACTCAAGGCCATCTTGTATTATTTGTAAAGTAGACATTGAATATTTATCTATTAGGTCTTGGTACTTTCCGGTGAATCTCTTGAGAAAAAAGGAAGAGACGTTCTTCGACAAAACCCTGGCTCATTAATTTTTTGTTCCGACATCGATGACGTTCTACAAAGTCTGAGTATCAACTGCAATATCGTAAGAGTTGAGAAATGTATACTCCATACTCGGGTGAAGTTGGTATATTGCTGCTTAGGTGTGGAAAATTCACAATTTCACAATTGAAATCGTCTTGTTTGTCATAGATTCTGGTACTGAGATTACCGCTGTAGTTGAAAATGGACATCACGAAGAAGTAATAGAACAATGATTGATAAGCTCCGGACAAGGCAAATGCACTTTCGATGGGAAAATGGTGATTTGAACCACTTTTACGGTGCGCTAATAGTTCCACTTGTACGACATGCATTCAGATTTAGTTTTAAATCTGGCAAAACCAAAAATGCACATTTAATTCAAGTAGCAATAGTTGTTTCTTCAACTAACATTTCAAAAAAGTCATGTACAAACACACACTTATAACAATAAGCATAAGATTTTTTTCTGAACAGATCATCAAATTTTAAGGATTAACAGCATTAATAAAAATGTACAGTGGGAAAACAAAATATAAAAATAAATAATTTCCTTTCATAACAAACCTTGTAATGTTTTGCCGGAACGTTTTTAGCGATGCAGCTTTTAGTTATTACGTAATATAACTTGCACATTCACACGTAGCAAGGTTTATCTAGTTTTTGCGTTCTCAGCATCCTTTCTGATCTGTATAAATAAAATGTATCCAATTTAGGGATGGTGAAATAAATTTTCCAACTAATTTATTACCAGACATTATAAAAATAATGTCACCATCTCTCTTTACTGTTTTGTGTGAATTCCTTTGAAATTAATCTTTTTCAAAAACATTAAAGAAAGGCGTCGATATGTATCCTGTAATTTTATGCAACATGCAGTAGAATAAAGCAAACAAATCTTTAAACGTCAATCTCTATTTATACACTTAACGAGCTCTTAAAAGAAGATATCATCTTCGTGTATAAATATGTAATTAATGAAGTCTGCATATAATATTGTCCTCTTAAAATACCTAAAAGATTAACTCAACTTTAATTCCAAAGAATTTCTAAACAAAGATTATTTAAATGGTCCAGACTACATTGGGATTTGACTATGTTACATGGAACAATAAAACTGCATGGTAATACCGCTAATGATAAAACGAATGCAAGTAATACATGTACATGCACAACATTGTGTTTTATGGCGTTGTCTCATTATTTTCATATTTCTAAATAATATGTATTTTATTCAAATAACTTAAATTCATTTATTTGCAATCCCACAGAACACCAGATTGAGATACTCAATATGCAAGCGATAGTGTTGAAGGAATATTGCTACATATAAATGATTCACGAAACCATCTCATCCTACACTAAATACTTTAATTGTCCTTTGATTTGCTCTGAAATGAACCTAACTTAAAGATGGTCGTGGGAACTATGATCAATCATTTTCATCACAATGTATAAAATAACACTTAATGCGATAGTTGTCCTCCAGAGGTCTTACTTTTTGTGAGTTGTTGTTTTTTTTGCCGTACTGATGTACATGTATACCCATAACCTTCTTTTATTTATACCTGAATTAAGCATTGCTCGTTTCCACAATATTGCATGCAATGATATATTCAAAATCAAATGGAACAGATACGAAAAAACATTAAAGGCAAACCAATTTTTTTAGAGAAAACCCAAACAAAATGGTTCTCTCAGAAAGAACTACGTTAAATACAGCAACTCCGATATGTCGTTATATATTGTAAACACAACGT